GAATGATTGTAGATCATATATATATAATGTCTAAAAATTTTTATATTTATATGGATAGCATTTAATTATTAAATAGCTCAAGAAAAATATCACTTTTATTATTTTTATTAAATCATTATTCCATTTGATATGTAATCGTAGCTAGAGTGCTTTGACGTTTTATTTTAAATATTTTTTTTTAAAATAAAAAATTATAATGCCAGTTTTATTCTACACCTAGCACGTTAAGGTTAATATGGGCTTTTCTGATTTTGATTTATTTGTTCATCAAATGATAATACATTTGTGTTTATCATAAATCAGCCTTCATGGAACACAGTTGGCGCTCAACATATAAGGTGGGCTTGGTTTAGCTCAACTGTCTGAAAGCCGTGACTTTTTTTAGAGTGACCCGTTAGCTTTACTCATTGAGTTGTAAGCTATGTTATACTAACTGTCGAGCGGACCTGCCAAATTGTCTTAGCGAACTAACCTGTCAAACTTGTCTTATCATTCAATCTAATGAACTGACCAATTAGACACACTAGCCTAGCTCGACTGTAAGATTTGAATCTTACTTTTTTCCTCTTATCGCAATCCCGCTCTATTTCATGTGATCTTGTCTGTGATGTCTTCTTGATCTGGAGATGGACAATCTTGCAAAAATATTTCTTTCCTCTCTTTCCTTCCCGCTTTGTTGCCTTCCTCTTTTGTGCGAGCCGACTTCCCAATCAAGTTCTTGCTTTCCCTTGCCGCTTCAAGTTACCGCATCAAATTCTAATATATGTGAGGTTGAAGGGATGGTTGTCTCGCCTCATCTCGCTCGCACCTACAGCCGCCAATCAAGTAGCTCTCCCCCTCCCTAAACTTCCTTCTCTTGAAGCTAGTCGAGAGCATAGGACCAAAACTGCTCTCTCTTCCCTTATTTTTTTCCCTTTAAGATTCTTAAAATAGTTTCTTCTTTTTCTTCTTTTATATATATATAATAATAATAATAATAAATTTTATATGTTCAAAAAATAAAATATGTTAATTATGTTACTTCTAACCCAAGAAATAATTACGTTTAATTGCATATTTATTCATACACTTGATTAGATGTAGTGTTGGACCATCTAGTTAACGTTGGTTGAACCTACTTTGATTATTGTAGAAGAACTGTCCATAAATGAGGAAATTGCGTGTGAAGAGGTGATTCCAAACATTAATTTTGGTATGGATAAAGAGAATTCGTCTTTGAGACATTCCTACTTCCTATCTCGAAAGTCAATACAAATGTAAATTTATTCATTCTTCTTTTTTAACTGGCACAACATTAACTAACTAGGAAGGGTATTTTTTTTCTCTGATAAAATTGGTCTTAATCAGTTTCTTCACTTTTGTGATTACATGTCCAATCTCCAATTTCATTCATCGACGGTCTTTCTTAATTGGTATAGCACCAGGTTGTTTATGAGTTGCCAACTTAGATGCTAGTCCTGACATTCTTCACAACTCTAGACAAAATAATCATTAAAATCTATAAGTAACTTGACTAGGCCATTAGTCTCAAGTTCGTTCAAAAAAGAATTTATAAAAGTTGGCTTAGGATTGTCATGACTTCCCAAATTTATTCCTTCAATTCATTAATAATTGATTTAATTTTTTCTTCTAGTTCAAGAGGTGCATCCCAGCTTGAGCTTTCATCTGAATCATCCAAAATTTCTAAACAAACATCAACACTAGAATGAGTACATTCTAAAAAATCTTATTTGGTTTCAAACAGTCAGTAACAAAAAAGTAATATTTCTTATCATTAATTAGTCATACAGTGGTGAATCTTATACGAGCTCTTGACTTGGCTTCTCTGCGTTTAGTATCACAAAAAATTTTAATAATGTGTGATTACCTCTTGGACCATGTGTTTGGTATTAAACTTTTTTTTGCTAATTTAGTAGCACAAGAAAAGTATCAATCGAAATGGAGTTCTATTAATTTATATGAAATTTCATATTCAAGCTCAACATCTTTTTCAAGAACTGTAAACTTACGATTAGGTGGTCATTTAAATCTTGTAATAGGTTATAGAGGTGGTCATTTAAATCTTTGAAAAAGATGTAATAGGTTAATAGTCTTATAGTTCTAACACCTGATCGTAAGTTTATAGAGGTGTAAGACTATTAACCTATTACTTGGGGTTCGTTTTCGTCTTTTGATGATGTTTTTTATTTTTCTTTCTCTTTTTTTTTCTTTTGTTGCAATTTCATTTTCAATCTTTTCTTTTATGAGATTTTTTCTTTCTTTCTCGTACAAGTTTTCAGTTGTAATTATCTTTATTGAAAGATTGTTTGCTTTATTGTTGTGTAGTTCACTGCATCTTCATAAAACCTAACTTTATGTACTGAGAATGATTGTAGATCATTCTTGATGTAATATTTACTTGGGTTACTCTTTGTGGAGATGAAGTTGTGAGACCCTTGTCCACCATTACTTAGTGGTTTTCCTGTCTATTACTATCTCCACAAAGAGTAACCCCTTTGCTTGGGATTTTGTTGGAGCTTACATCCCATTTAGTAGTTGTATAACCCTACTTGTGTTGTCCTGTCACCACCTTCTTCTTTTTGATGGCTTAGAAGGAGATAGTTTAGAGCCTTTTTTTTAAGATAATCCCTTGCCCAATGTGATCCATCACAAAGAAAGCATTTGTTGTGTGGTTTATTTTTGTCATTTTTAGACTTCCATTTGTCTTTTGCCTTTAATGAAGTCGATTTTTGGAGGGTCTCTTCCTTGTGTTGATCCATGTCTTCCCCACCTTTGACATGGGTACTCTTCTTTTCTTTAGGCAATGTGAACTCTTTTTATTAATTAATCAGGCTTTCAATGACTGCGATGGCAATGGAAAGATCTTGCACTCTGCTCCTCCTAAGCTCAATCTTTTCCCACTGTTGGAGTCCATCCATAAAGTTGAATAGTGCATCCTTGTCAGATATGTTAGACATTTCAGGGACCAAGCTAGTAAACTCCATAATATATTCCTGAATCGAGCCTGGTTGCTTAAGCTTGCTTGAGCCTTTGCAACAGGGCTCTAGCCTCTTCCTCCACATTTTTTGTGATAAAATTTCCTCTTTAGCTCCCTTTTAAAGTCATCAAAAGTGGATATAACGTACATATCTTTCTTGATATCTCTTCGTCTTCTTCTTCACCGCAATATAGCAAAGTCTGAGAAGTAAAGAGTTGTGAATTGTATTCATGCCTCTTCATCCGTAATCCTGATCGCTACAAAGTATTGCTCAAGTCCCCATAAAAAATTTCCCACTTCATTAACATTGCGAGCTCCTCCAAAACTCTTTGGTTTTGGCACTTCAATGCGCTTAGATTCGAAGGTATGATGGTTCGTAGATGTTGCTAGTGCTCTATTGCAAAGTGAAATGTCTCCACGTACCTCCTTCAAGCTAGGACGTACGCCACTCATCTCATTTTCATGGGCTTTTCGTACCTTCTGGTGCTCTCCCGTCAAGTCCTCTAGCATCTTTGTCATTTGGTCCCTGAAGGACTTCTAAGGTTGGAGCATCATGTTTTTGATCGTCAAATGGATTGTGATGTCCTCCACCTCGAGTCCTTCAACCTTTAGACCAAGATCCTTTATCTGGGATTCCATGTCATTTATTGCTTCCTCCACCGGAACAAGGCACAAATCAAAGTCGTGCATGATCTCCTTGGACCTCCCATGTGGTTTGGATGCCCTTGGATCTCATTGCTCCTGAAAACCTCACCCTTGTTGAGATGATTCCAAAATAGTGGCTTCATACTCCATTACATGCTCTTTGACGCTCGTTGTCATACCTTCCAAACAAGGTTATGATACCAACTATCACAGATTGACTTATCTCAAGTCACCGTGCGGGTTAGCGCTCTTCCTTAGCACTAAATCAGCATAACCCTCATAACTCTCAGTCTTGTAAGCACACAACTCTCTTGTAAGAAGAATAGGAAGAAGTATTGAAGAAAGGAATACTTCACTAAGAA